GCGTATCGACATACACTACCTTAACTTAACCTGTGTATCGACATATAATACATGGGAAGTACAATATCTTCTTCTTCCTCCTATGCCGTCCGCATTAACGAAGGTTGGCGACTACATTTCTAAAAGTTTCTCTGTCTATTGCAACGTGGAATAATTTGTCTACAGTCATGTTTGTCCAGTCTCGAATACTTCGCAGCCATGACTTCCTCTGTCTACCTTTTCCCTTTTTGCCATCGACTCTACCCTGCATTATGACCTGCAGAAGACTATATTTATCATTCCTCGGTATGTGTCCAAGGTATACAGTCTTTCGTAGTTTTATTGTTTTTAACAATTTTTGTCTCAACCCATCCTTCTTAGCACTTCCTCATTGGTGACCCTGGCAGTCCATGGAATTTTCAATATTCTTTGGTATATCCAAAGTTCAAAGGATACATACTATTTGCGCTTTTAACGTCCATGTTTCTACCCCGTACAATAGTTGGGACCAGACATAACATTCAAGTGGAATATGGACATACAATATATCATTATTTCCATACTGCAGTTGTGAAAATATCATAAAATCACGTTTAAAGTAATACTAGTAGTACAAATAAAATTTTTTAACGGAAAAACATGCACAATGTAAAACAATAAAAACTTAGTCTATTTCGTATTCAGAATCACTTGAAACAATATCTTTAGCGTCTGTGAATGTAGGTAATGTATCTACAAAGTTTCTATAGTCTTCTGGAATTACTTTCTCGCGTAAGAGACACAGTAACTCATCCTTTTTTGGATTGGATATTAGTAAAAAACTGTTATACTGTTGTTCAAGAGATGCATCATGGACATTTTCACACTGTTTGTATTCTTGTTCTGCATGTGCCTATGTCGCCTACGTTCAAATTTAGTCGTTACTTGTAGATCATGTACATCACGTCGTTACATGTTACATCATACTTAAACAAAATGGTTGCCGGATTTATCATTGTAACACGTAACCAATTAATTTGCAAACATTTCACTTGATTTCCGTTGTTATTACAGGTAGTATTTACCATAATCTTACAAGCTAAAGATAAGCCTTAAAATAATATAAATTGTAGTATATGAGATGGTTAACAATAAAAGCACGAAGTTTTAGCCTTAACATTTGTATTAAAATACCCCATTCGCGGGGAAAGTACACTTTCTTATTTTTTCGAGCACGTTCTATGGTAGCATGTATCGAATCCACTTCTAAGTATGTACGACCTGGTTCCAAATATTTTAGATCTATTTTTTGAAGATTATAATTTTTTTTTATCAATAGCATATATCATTGCAGCAGTAACATAATTGTTGCTGTTTTGTCCACCGCAAGTATCTGAAAATGAGAAAAGGATGTGTAATAGTATTGGGTAAAGATTGCAAATATTTCAGCAAATAATTTCTTATTTCAACTGATCTTTGTTTGCCTTGTATCTCGTCTGATAAATATTGATATGTTTAACAGTGCTTTTATGGTTTTAGCAGATAAATTGTTAACAGTAGCACATCTAGATTTTACTTTTTTATCATGTGAAAGAAAGAACATAAATTTTACCTTTCTCGTCTCGTTTGATTAATTTACTTAACTTAGTTTTCTTGGTCTGGAGTATTATTGCCCCATGCAAATGTTGCCCTGTAAATGCTAGGATTCTCCTTTGGATCTGCCACTCTCCGTTGACGTAAACACTGCATGGGGCCTTCCAGTGACACCTATGATCAAAATGCATTTTTCATGGATGTTAATTATTGCAACTTGGTAGAACCAGATGGTAAAAACGACAAATTAGCAGCAATACGCGATCTGTGGAATCAAGTTAACCAAAACTTTCCGAATTACTATTTACCAGGAAAAACATAACGGTAGATGAGCAACTTGTTCCGTATCGAGGTAGGTGTCCATTTAAGCAGTATATGCCTTTAAAGCCAGATAAGTATGGCATAAAAATATAGTAAGCCTGTGACTCAGAAACATATTATTCGTTAGGTGAAGTACCATATACAGGGAAACCCGGAAATACAGTAGCGAAAGTTCTTGCATCTTAAGTTAAAAAGCAACTCGTTAAGCCTTATTATTATTCCAAGAGAAATGTGACTTACAATAACTATTTCAATAATCTTACTCGTACATATGAATTACTGTCAAATTTACTAACTCTTGTGGGCACAGTGAAAAAAAATAAAAGATTTGTTTCTCGGGAATTTCTACCAAACGAAAATTGTTCAGATCACTCCGAATATCGTATCACACTGTACGTTCCGAATAAACAAAGAAGTGCTAGTCCTATCTACTATGCATCAAATTGATTATTGTGCAGACGATCTTGAAAAAAAAACCAGATATGATACTCTATTATAACAATACAAAATGTGGTGTCGATACGTTAGACCAAATGGTTTATAAATATATGTGCAAAAGATGAACTAACCGTTGGCCTTTTGCATTTTTTATGAATATTTTAGACGTGGCTGAGGTACCTTCATTTATTACTTAAACAAATTTACATCCAAAATGGAACGAAAACAAAAATGAAAAGCGAAGATTTTTTCTTACAACGACAGCAGAACAACTAGTGTTATCTCAAATTTCGAGAATAAAATCATGGGTACTACAATGGGAAACAAAACACTGTATTTAAAAATACTTATAGGAAGTTAAACCACACAATCAATCCAAAAACTAGAAAAACCTCCATATTTAGCAAGAAAAAGGTGTCACATGTGCCCAACAATAAAGGACAGGAAACAAAACCAAATTTGTGAAATATGGAGTAGAAATGTGTGTAACGACCACTGTATAATTAAAAAAGTTTGTAAGTATTGCAATCAAGAAAAATAAATGACTTATCTATTGCTTTTTTTATTTTTATTGTTTTTTTAACCTAATACTTAATAATAATTTAATTCGTCATATCAAAAACAACAAGACCATAATCGTTTTCCAGGGTGTGCGTAAACATCAATCCCTCTTTTCAAATAAAATGACATGGTAGATTTACAACAAATTTTATTTATTTATTAATTAAGTGTTTATTTGGCTCCAAATATTTATTACTTATGAATAAATCTTTTTCGACAGAAGTTTTCTTGCATTTCATTATTTTGTGCAAATCCTTCAGGTAGATCGCATGCTCGAGGTACACCACATACTATAGTAGTAAATTCTTTTTTTTATAGTAGTACCTTTTTTTTATAATATAGACCATTTCAGTTTAACTTTATTAAAAAAATCAAAAAAGAATATTAGAAATATTTGGGTAAATATAAGTAGTACATTTAAGAACAGTGGTGGATCAAACGGACTCGAATTGCCTGGTTACGTAAGTAAGATCTGTTGCCCGAATAAGGGCAACACATCTTGCATACATCTTAACATAAGACGATATAATTTTGTTCTAGGATCTTGGTCTTGGATCTTCAAGCCAAGATTTTCAAGCCGTTAAGTAGATCAAACAAAAACATTGATTAACCAAAGGTTAGATGAAGTCGAACAACTATCCCAGGGCAGAGAAGGATGAAGGGAAATCCTAAAAAAACTGTAAAGGCCTGATGGTGTCACCACATCCTAAAAGGGATTAGGACTGAGGAGGAGGACATGAACTTCAGTTAATATGTGCCACTGTAAGTCTTAAACTAAACAACTCCAAAACAAAATTCATGACAAACCTAGTACCTAGCGCATATATCAATATTGGAGACATCGAAGTAGAGCTGGTGGAAAAAAACATATATCTTAGACACCAAATAAAGATCACAAGAGACAACCAAACATGCGAACAACGAATAAGAATAAACCTAGCATGGGCAGCCTATGGAGAACAAAGACATCTTTAAAAGCGATAGACCAATTTCTTTAAAACGTAAAACATTTGACCAATGTGTGTTGCGTGTGATGACCTATGGTGCCGAAACTTTGACATTGACAGCTTCAAGTTCTAAAACTCTGCAAATAGCTTAGAGGAAAATGGAAAGACCGATGCTGAGTATATCGCTTTGTGAGCGAGTTAGAAATGAAGACTTAAGACGAAGAACAGGAGTTACCGATGTAATTTCCCGAATTGCCACACTTACATGGAACTGGCCAAGCACGTCGCCCTAATCAGTGATGAAGGTTGACGAAGAGATTTCTTGAGTGGAGGTCGAGATTAGACAAAAGAAGTAGAGGAAGACCCCTACACGATGGACTGACGATCTCAAAAACATATCAAGGAATTGGATGAAAAGTGCTCAAGACGGACAGAGCATAATGGACAAAAATTAGGAAGGCCTATGTCCAAGAGTGGACGCAAAGGGCTGGGTGATGATGATAAAAGGTTAAGAAATATATGGTTCTGAGGTCAAAAACGGACCTTACCTCGTTAAAGTTGTTTAAGGGTTAAGTAACATTATGATAGGAATTAATAAGAAATTTTTGTGGACACTGTTCTTTCCTGTAGTATACTCGTGTATGGTATGAGATGCCTTTTATAAATAATTAAGGTACTCCAAGTAGGTTTTTGATTGGATGATATCAAAAACTTCGAATTATTTTAAGAATTCTTATTATATTACTATAAACTGTTTATTTCGATATGGTTGCGGAAATGAAATAAGTTTGGCTAATCATAAATCTTTACTTTTTCTTTTTAATATTTTATTATTCCTTGTTTATAACTTGCAGATTAGGGCATATAGTTTTTTTAGGATATCCGTCTTATTATATGGTAAGACACTCTTCTCACTCTTTAGGCATTTCCTTTATAATAAGCAATATAACTTTGAAATAGGTATATATGTAAGATACTAATTAACATTTCTTTTGGTTTTAATGTTTTGTCGATGACCTTTGCAACCATTACACCATAAATTGTAATTTAATATGTAGGATAACATTTAAAAAATAAATAAGTTCTAAATATGATTCCAAAAACCTTTATCAAAAATTGAATAGTAAGGCGATAACCTCAACCTTTTATGAATATGAGTTAAAATGTAAAAATAATTTAACATTTGTAAATTAACTTGGTGACAATGAGAATAACAATTTTATTTGTTGTCTTTTCTATAGCTGTAAGTATTCTTATACTTAATGTATCTTATCATTTTGTTGCATAATTTAAACATACATACCATGATTCGTAAAATCAGTCTTGACTCTCTGGAGGGAATGTAGTGGTCATCGCGATATAATGACATGGTTCATTTCCAGAGATGTCTGCCTCTGTACATGTATTTTATTACTGTATTTGGATGGCGTGTATTTTTCTATTTTCCAATATCTTTAAATATATTTGAGGGGTCTAGATTTAAAACCGGACATTTCCACTTTATGTCATTTTGAGTAGATTTTAGATTTTTTTCTTCTGTAAATTTTTAAAAACAGTTAAAATGAGCCTGTTGCAAATTTTAAAATATAGAATAAGACGTAAACTAGAGAAAAAGACATAGCGAGCACATTCGATAAACTGCAAATTATGTTGGGGGAACTAGCAGCCAGCTCCCAATACGTCAGCCTAATAATGAATATGAAAAAAATTAAAATATTGACAAACACAGATGACCCCAGACATATAACTATAAACGGCAGTGAGATAGAACAAATTCAGGAATATATGTACCTAGGCCACATTTTGAGACTTGACAAAGAGAACCAAAGTGCGGAATTTACTAGAAGAGCAAGACTAGCATGGGCAGGATTTGGAATACTTAGTTGGATACTTAAGAACCGCAAAATACCCTAATGCTTGAGGAGCAAAGTGTTTAACCAATGCATCCTTCCTATTATGTCATATGGATGTCAAACCTGGACCCTTACCAAGGCAAACATGAATAAAGCCACAACAGAAAAAACAATGGAAAGAGCAATGTTGGGTATACGACTGTCAGATAAACATAAAAAGAGAAACGACTGGGTTTGATCCAAAACAAAAGTCGAGGACATAACAACAAAAATTGCCAAACTTAAATGGATCTTTGCGGATCACACTGCTAGATAGAAAGACCAACGTTATAATACTACAATACAACATTGGAGACCTTACGAAAGTAAACGACCAAGAGGAAAACCACAGATGAGATCGGTTGATGACATTAAAAGAATAGCCGGAACAAATTGGAAATATGTTGCTCAGGATAAAGACCGATGGAAGGAGTTAGGAGAGGCCTATGTCCAAACATGGACGACAGAAGGCTAAGAAGAAGAAGAAGAAATATCTATATCTGATTGGAGAAAGTATATGGGTAATAAAATAAAAGAAAACTACTCCTTTAAATGATTTATTTTGTATTAATATATTACACATGAAAACCAGAAATAAATTTCGTATGTTCACAGATTGGATCATTAAAATCCTGCGTATGTCGTTCATTCTCGTTTAAAGCTTTGTCACAGAATTTTAGCTCCTGCATTTGCTTCCAGTTTGTACCGAAATGTCTCTTTAGTAATACTCGTTTAAATCTGTAAGTTGTGCTTCTTTGGCCTTTGCACTTGGAGGTAAAACTGCAGGATTTATACCAGTCAATGCTTTAGCCTTCTTGGTTACTGATAATGCAGTTTAATTGTTAGATTTGTAGAACATCTCTCCTTAAAGAAGAATTGTAATTTTTAAAATTCTTGACGATTTGCAGATTGGAAATACCAACTTGGGAGCCCTTTCAATATCTCTGCCATTTTTTCTGTTTTCCAGTTCATTACTTCAAATTCTGGATATTTAATTACGGTTGTATATTTAGAAAATATATTAAAATTATTGGGTTGAATTATTTTTGTTTTTCCTTGTACCGCTTTTTCAATAATGCCAAAGACTCGATCAGCAGGTAAAAAGAATTAATATTAATAGGAGAATCATCTGCAATCCATGTTAACACATAAATACAACTGTCGAATTTTTGTTTTGTCCCCCACATCCGTCACATATTAGATGGACTGTATCAATTTTAGAGGGAAAATCTGTATATTTTAGCGTGTGATATATTGCTAAAGCAATTTTGCAGGAACCTTTTGATCGATCAAGCTCGGTCCATGTGTACACACTGACTTTGGTAAGTTTTGCTTTTAAAGGGCTTTGTGCTATTGTAAAATTATATACGTAGAGTTGTCTCGAATAGTTGCCTGCCTGATCGGGTATTTTTTGAAAGGGAATATTTTCCTGACAGTCAAAACTAAAAGGATAACCAATTTAACTTTCATATTTTAGTATATCAAAGAAATTTTTAGCTCTTAATTTATGCAGCTGAAACTCAGTCATTTTGTTTACTTTTTCTTGTTCATTCTCGCAGCGTTTAATAGTTTCTCTCAAACAAAGACAGGTAGGGCAGACATCTATAGCAAGTAAACCAAACCCAATATTATATTATGTGTTAAATATTTTACGAAAAAAAAACAATCTTTTACTTTCAATTCGTTAGTGACTGATTTATAGCACATACGACACAGTTTCTTAATATTAAGCTCTGGATCACCGCCCCTTTGATCGATCGGCATTGTCTTCAATTTGCGAAATTTTTTCATTACACCCAAATCTCGATGTTTGGAAATATACAAATATATATAATATATAATATAAATTATTTTTCATTAAATTTCTAACGACAGAATATACGTGTAAATTGCGAAGAAGTATTTTTCTAGCTTGCAGTACAATAGGACAGGATATAACGAAAAGTACATTTTAAAATGATTTTGAAATATACCCGAAAAAGTGTTAATTATTTAACCCACTTTAATTAAAAAATGATAAAGATTTTTAAGTTTTAAGCACTGTAGCGAATTCTGAACTGTTACAACGTACTGACCTTGATTAATTAGCTAATCAGTCAGCGTCTTCACTGGAACTGTCTTTATCATTGGAATCTTCCGCCAAATCGATGATAATCCTACTTTCATTTTCATCATATGTGACCATTTTTGCCCAGACGTCCTGAATTAATTTTTCAGTATGTTTAACACAACTCGCCCACACTGCAGGTATTGTCTCAGCCAATGCATCGCCCCAAATTTTTTTCACTGTTTCATCTCCACGTCCATGTTCTCCAATATGACGATCATAGTATTGTTTAGAAATGCCCCAGACCATTGGATCATATTGACAGTGATATGGAGGCAATATCAAAACCTTATGCCCATGTTCTTGGAGTAGCCCGTCTATAACGTACCTGGTATTTTGTGGTTTATTCTGGCGACAAAGACTCAATAGCTCTGTATTGCTCGAATCGTCGTCAAAAATTATTTTTTTCGCTCGTAACCATTCTTGTAAGTCCGATTTTTGCCAACTGGCGTTCGGTAACTTTTCTATTAAAGAACTATTGTATGAGGCATTATCCATAATAATTAGAGATGGTACCTCCAACATTGGTATCAGCTTTTCGGACACCCACTTTTTAAGAGACTCTTTATCCATAGAATTATGATAGTCTTCATTCTTCGATTTCGTAGAAAACTGTAATCCAGCATTTTTAACAAATCCTTGCCAACTTCCGGTATATAAAACAACAAAGCGTTTACCTGTATTTTCGTTTTCCTTATCACATAGTCATCTTGCCAAGTGCATTTATATGCCCCTTTTAGGAATATCCATGTTTCATCTAAAAAAACGAACTGAAGTGGGCTTGGACTTAAAATATTTCGCATATAATGCCTCAAAAAATACAGTCGTTTGGAGACAATACATGGTTTCTCACATAGCACTCGTCCACTATTTTCTAGTTTTTATGAAAACCCACAATTTTTCATGACGCCACAAACTCGTATCAGAACCGTCATAGAGATGCTTGTTTCTTAATTGTGTATTTAGAACTTTAATTGTAACGTGCTCTCCTTTTGTTTTCACGCCATACAGTACATTTCTAATCTCTCATTTTATAGTATCGCTGACATCATTAGTCTTTTTTCTTGTACATTACGTGACTCTTCTGGTGTAGTAAGAGCTGCCCCTGTGTTGTATTCACTCTTTATTCTTGTCACCGTGCGAAGACTGATTTTCAAAGCGTCCGCTACTCGTTCAGGTACCGATGATAACGAAAGCAAAGGTCCGTTGTTTTTTTTTTTTTTTTAAAATACTCCAATAAATAACCTACACATTGTCGCATTTCTCCTGCTATCGTTTTCTCGGATTTTTTTTATTAAATAGAACAATTAGTTATTTACAACAAAAAATAATAAGTAAAACTGTTCGGAACAAATTCCAACATTGACTGACTAAAATCGACTAAAACAACATAAAATATCAATGGTAATTGCTACAATTATAAACCTATTAGCCAGCTCATTCAAGAACAATGCCACAGGTCATTATTGCAATGGGTATCGGAAGAGAAAAAGTTAACTTATAACAAACTGGAATTTTTACGGTGTCGAGAGTATTATTTTATGTAATGGAATTCCACACAGTAAGAGCTCAAACCATTAATTAACTAAAAACTGTTTACTTATAAAAACTGTTTCATCAGCCACTCTAAACCTGCACAGATCAGGGTAACATGTCAAAAAAAAAACACGTCACTGCCAGCTATCTGTATTCGTAAAGAGGCCGAACTTATCACCGACACCGTATCGGCCAAACGCATCGGTGTTATTGTTACAATACTGGGAGACGTGAGTGGTCTTCTCATTCTCTTCTCATCGCACTTTAACATGACGAACGTGACTTGCACAATTGAATTACGCATCTATGTATCAGAGAGTGACGAATATTAAAAATTCCGTAGTAGCTTATTTCTGGCACATGCCAAGAACGATGAAAACGAGTATACCAAGTTTACCTAAGAAAGCCTTCCTACATACGGGTATTTTTTGTTTGTTAATAGCAGTGTACAAATAAAATATTTTACGTTCACTTATTTTGCTTTTTTCTCTGCCTGATACTTATTACATGCTGGTGCACGCACTTCACAATGCTTTAAAATAAAAGCATCTTAAACATTTTTTTTTATTTTATAAAAATTTTTATGAAACCGCTGTATGTCCATCATTGAAAGATAGCATCATTGAAATGATTGTATTTTGTAACCACACAATAGATATTGAAGCAAACTGCTTGCAGAATATCTGCAACAATGAATACGAGACGAAA